CCACCACACTCTTACTTCTCTCCGCCTCTTCTGATGTAATCTACGACTCTGCCGGCACCGAGCTTCTGAGGGGCAACCCCTACTACATTCTCCCCCTCCTCCGTCGCTCCGGCGGCGGACTCACTCTTTCTCGGAACACCAAAGACGCATGTCCACTCAACGTCACTCAAGAGTCCTTCGAGGTCAACAATGGAGGTCCGTTCACCTTCAGCCCCATAGTCCACGACGAAGAAATCATCCCAGTTGCTTATCCCATTTCGATTTCAGCTTATGTTGTAAACCCTTGCCATGGATCGAACATATGGAAGGTGACGACGTCGACGGCGGCAGTAGCCAAGAACGACGAAGATGAATCACTGACGACTAATAAAGCTAAAAAGAAGAAAGCTGATGATGATAACAAGAAGAAGAAGAAGAAAGATGATGATGATGATGATGATGATGATGACGATGAGAAGAAAGATGATGATGAGAAGGGAGTTGTTCCTGTTCAAATAGTGACCACCGGTGGGGAGTTCAACACGCCGGAAAGTTGTTTTCAGATCGTGGAAGGTGATATTATGGAAGGATTGCAGAGCTACCAGATTCAGCATTGCCCGTTTAAATGTGGTTCACCGGGAAGTACTGATCATACTTGCTATAACGTCGGCGTTATTAGAGATGCCGACGGTATTAATGGATACATTGGTCGTACCGATGCTATATTCCCTGTTGAGTTTAAAAGTTATGATGGCACATTTAGCCAACCGACTAGTATTAGCCCAATATCGTCCTTTGTAAGCACATTTAGCAAATGGGGAAATGAGGTCGAATAATTCCTTTTAGGTACTCTAGATCTTGTTCAAGAAATAAAATTTGTATCATGCAGGCTACTATGTCGATGAAAATGATGTGTGGGTTCAAATTTCAATAATGGCATTTTTGTTTGTTCTACAAGTTAAGTGAAAGGTGGCATGCATGATTTATGAAAAGCCAATTCGTGACACTTGTAAATGCCTATAAAATTAATCAATGGATTATGTGCATGGGATGTTGGAGCCATTCGTTTACAACTACTCTTTCAATATGTTTGTATTCAGTGGACATAGTATAGCACAACTTATAATAGATAAATTAAGATATATATGATAGGTTTTTTACTTAATATATAAAACATGCCTTAATGGGTTAAGTGATCAGGCATGGAAGCTTATGCATTAAGACTCCTCTAATTTTAAAGAATAATAGTTCGTTTTTTATATACTTATTTTGTTCACCAACTTCAATTAAGTGGAGTTTACAAAAGACCACATTAATGGTGCTGGAAACTTTTTTGAAAACCTTTCATTTGTTCCAACGCAAAGATGCATTTGATGATATGCATTTTAGAGCTTACAAATATGTTGTCTCAAGCTCTTCAAAAAAAGATTAAGACATACTTGAAGTCATTTCATTGGTAGAGATGACAAAAAAAAATTGAGATGATAGGTTTGAAAATTTTCTAGACAAGGTATATTCTTTTTGTGAAAAGTATGAAAGGTGGACATGGTGGGAACTTATGCAAGGAACCGAAAACAAAATAACGACTTCAACAATCAAAATCATTATAAAGTTATATCTTCACCATTGTTCTTAGATATGCAACTTCGTGGTCGTTTTAATGGGATAATAGTCATTGTCAAACAAAGATAATATAGTAACATTAGTAACATTACGGTATCTAAAAACTTTTGTCTTCATACTTAGTGAATCCAATAAGATTGTAGGGGAAATGATACAAAAGCCCTATAATGTTTTTAAAATTTGTCGATTCAATCCCTAAAGTTATTTTCTGATTTTATGGGGGTATAAAGTAGGTTACGACCTATTCTTTTCGTCCCTTCAACATCTAATAATAGGTACACCATGTGACATGTGCCCATTTAGACCCGACAAAACACACTTCATGCCCCCATAATGCCAAAAAAATATGTTTGGCGATCATCTAAACCAAAACTTAAAAATATGCATCGAAAACACACACTATCTCCAACAAGACTATCTCTGACGTATGTTCCACTAACTTCAATGTCACTAACATTCGCTGGAAGCTCCCTCATCTCATTGTTCTCAAGATCTGTGCTCTCAAGGATTGTCACACATTGTTTATGGATATTGTTTACTGAAAATTCACAACCATCGGAGAAGCTTTGAATGCGGCGCGGAACTCAAATGCGACGACTCTGTTTTTAATGTGTGTTTTTGAGTTTTGGTTTAAATGATATACAAACTTTTTTTTATGAGGGCATAAGGTGAGTTTTGTAGGGTCTAAATGGTCACATATCGCATGGTATACCTGTTATTAGAGATTGAAGAGACTAAAAGAGTAGGTCGTAAACTACCTTATACCCCCATAAAACCAGAAAATAACTTTATAGACTAAATCGACCAACTTTAAAAATATTGTTAGGCTTTTGTGTCATTTCCCTATGATTGTAATAAGACATAACCCTTCGTTAAACACAGATAATACATTAAAAATATAATATAATAATATAACTAAAGATAATATTCTATGTCAATTCATAAAGATACACACACACACAGAGAGAGAGAGAGAGAGAGAGAGAGAGAGAGAGAGAGAGAGAGAGAGAGAGAGAGAGAGAGAGAGAGAGAGAGAGAGAGAGAGAGAGAGAGAGAGAGAGAGAGAGACTTATGTTGAGAAAATAAATAAAATTATAATAAGAGAATAGTCTATTATTTATTGTTCAAAAGAAGTCGGATTTTACCATTAATAAGTTTTAAATATAATGACTTTTCTAAAGATTTTCAGCTATAATTCAATATTACCTGCTAAATTCTCAAATATGTAAATGACTAAAACAATTACAAGTTTTCTTTGTCATTTTTCATCCAAAAATATAAAGATATAAAGTTTATAGTTAATAAATAGAAAATATAATATTTTTTTGTGTATATATGCTAGCGGCTAAAATCTCAAACACAAAAAAAGATCACATGGTTTCTCCCTTTATGATTAGAGAAATGGATGGTTTTATTAGATAGCATGTAAAATTTTGATGATTTTTCTTACAATAGCCCTCGCATTCCATTTTAACGTGAAACTATGCAATATACAAACTTTACTCTTCCTTCCCCTAGAGTGTACTAGTGGTGTGGTTGCACTCTTCCTTATTGCTTGCGAGCTGTGACAACTCCTAGGGTGTACTAGTGGTGTGGTTGCATGGGGCTTTGGATTTTAAGGGGTCTCCAAATTTTGGGGCAAAATATAGAGTAATAGTGTTGATATTTTCATAAAATACATTTTTATGTGTTATTATTAAAGAAAATTAGCAAATATCTATATACATAATATGACATTTGGTAACCAGTAATTTTAATTGTAAAAAAAAATGAATGAAAATCAAAAAAATCAAAATCTTACATAAATTCTATAATTTATCAACAACTTAAGGAAAAAATTTATATCAAAAAATTATGTATGTGTATCTAATATAAGTTCAAGAAAATGTTACAGATTTTTATAAAAGCACCAAAAAGATCAAACCATAACAAACCTAATAAAGGTTCCAATAGATCGTCGGTATTGCTCGTCTCTCTTGCCGAAAATTATCGTTTTGTTGTCTTGAATCTTGATATCTCGTTGAGTCGTTGATAGCCATGTTGCCCTCCTCTAAGTCTTCTATCTGACTCCTCGACTACAAGTTAATATATCTTATCTCTTTAAACTTCCGAAGTCCCAACTATGATTAACTGTTTTTTCTCCCAGGCTAAATGCTCCTTTTCAATTGAAATTTATGAATTCATACTAAAGTTAATGAATAATGAAGTAGACAAAGTCAAAAACAATGTTCTTGGTTTGTTCTTTAGTCTAATATAATGTCTTGTGAATTGTGTTTATCATGCTATCATTATACTTTATAGTTAAGTTATTAACATTGATTTGTTTGGATAAAAAAGATGTCTTTAACTACAAAATTTGACTTAGGTTGTTCTAAACCTAAAAGAAAACAAAAAGAACAGTTTATTCATAGGCAAAGAGGATTTACCAATCAATTTGTCATCAAACAAATATCAAAATATCATCATAATGAAAAATTAGTTGGAATTTAAAAAAAAAAAAATGAAATGCATGTGCCAAAAAACATGGATGAAGTTCATGAAGATGTGGAAACCAAGGAATGAAGTTCATGATGGGGAAGAACCTAAGGAAAGAAATTGAACTGCAAGTGCAGTAAGATTTGCGTTGTGTAGACGAAGACATAAAGACATCGAATGGTAAGGGTAATTACACAGAATATATTTGGTAAATACTATGATCGTAGGAACTGAAACATTTAATTAGTTAAAACAGATGTTGTGATAATGAATTTATAAGAGTTTTATTAACTTCGAATTTTGAATTTAATGGTAGGAAATTTTCTTACTAATATTTTTAACAAGTTAATGGGCATCACTTTGATTTTGGTACAAATACAAAGCCTTCAAAATATGAGGGTCGGGCCTACTTATGACTTGTGAGTAGATGTGCAAACGAGTGGAGCCGAACCCAAGTCTGACCAGGCTCAGCTTGGACTCGTTTAAGTTATATAAGGTTCGAGCTTGTAAAGAATTATACAAGCTTAGCTCGAGCTCGGGCTCGACTCGTTTTTTATGTGACATATCTAAATAAGCTTAAACTCAGCTCAAGCTTGTTAAGAAGCTCGTTTACTAATACCCTAAATTCATAATTCCCCTAATATATTTTTATTATAATATATATAAATAATATTAAATTATATTATATAAAAACTCGTTTAGGCTCGCAAGCCTAATCAAGCTTAATGACATAAGCTTGAGATCGAGCTCATTTAATAAACGAGCTTAATATTAAGCTCGAGCTCGGCTCGGACTCATTTAAAATCGATTTCAAGTCGAGCTTTTAACAATCCGATCTCGAGTAGCTCACGAGTAGCTTGGCTCATTTGCACCCCTACTTGTGAGACTAGAGCAAGAAAAGAAAGACTTGAACCTGAAACCAGTGTGTAATGGATTCTCACCACCATATTAAATGAGTATTAACTTTGTCCCACAATTCCTTAAGATGACAAAACACAAGAAATGCTAAAAACCAAATGATGCTGTAAAATAAAAGTTTAAAAAAAAAAGAGTTTGATGATGAATCTAATCAGGATTACAGCATACATCGTATTACAGCCTCTGGAACCAACACATATCAATCAATCTCATCTCATAGTAACATAATAATACATGCCATGCCACGCCACCATTTCTTTCCTCACAACATAGTTTCCTTCATGGCAGATGAAATGGTGGTGGTGGTTGGAGGTGGTGGTGGACATGGTTACCTCCATGATGAACCACCGAGACGAATAACCTCTTCAGCACCACTATCCCTAGCAGAAACCCTACCATTGGCCACATCAGCCTTGTCACTAGTCAAATCACCATACATATCTTTAAGCTTTGCCAAATTACTAGAAGCAGATGTCCTATCCTTCACTTCTTCCCTACCATTTGGACTCACCGGAGCCTTCCCCCCATGATGAATACTCACACTCTCGCTTCTGCTCCTGCTCCTACTCCTACTCCTGCTCCTACTCCTCCGGGAACTCGATTCCCTGTGGTAATCCCTTCTGCTACTCTCCCTGGACCTTCGATCATACTCATGCCTCCTGTCCCTTTCCCTTTCCCTATATCTATCCCTCTCCCTATCCCTATCCCTATCTCTTCCTCTTTCTCTTTCTCTTTCTCTTTCCCGGTCAGGATAATCTCGGTCAGGCAAATCGCGGCTTTGGGAACGATGCCGGGCAGGGGATCGGCGGGAAGAATCGTCATACGAAGGGAGAGGTGGGAGGGTGCGGCGCACAGGGGAGGAATCGCGTGTGGACGCGCGATGTGGGGCCCGCTGACCGAAGGAAACCGAAAGTGCGGCTTTGACAGATGGCGGTCGCCGCGCCATGTCATCGGACCCACGGGTTGACTCGCCGGTCACCCCGCAATGTTTGGTAGGGAGTTTTAGTTTTTCGAGGTTTGCTGTGATGGACCGCATTACAGGGACAGGGATACGAGGGAACAGTGTATCAAAGTAATACTGCAAAAATAAATAAATAAATAAGAATTATGGAGATCATGAATGAAACAAGGGTGAGATATCATAAGATGATGAGTTGGCACCTGACCTGTCCAAGAAGTAGGTCCCGGACGTATACCCCCATTGTTGTCATTCTACCATTGGATCCAGGAGAGAACTCCTGACAAAAGAAAATTGAAGAAATCAGATATGGAAATTAATAAATAAAAATGTTGTTGAAATGTTGTAGTATGTAAATGATAGAAAAAATAAAGGGTGATATGAGGCACAATAAAAGGCATCTATGATTGATTATGTTGACCTATGTAGGGTGAGAGAAAGAGTGAAAAACTTCTGGTTGCACCACAGCCTTCCTTTTACTGCCCCGACTCTTGAACCATTGATTGATTACACAAGAAAACAAATGGTTAAATCATCCAAATTTTCTTATTTAATAACTTTATACAAAAAAAAGAAAAAGAGCCCTATCATACGTATACAAAAGAGAACACATAGTAAAATTCTTCTTCATTTTACTGAAACTAAGTTAGAAAAACAAGCTAGCCCCATTTTCTAACTATTATGCAAAAAAGGGTTGATCTTACAACATTTGAGCAGAAAAACAGCCAAGAGTATTTTGTAATGTTAGCACAGTTGATGGGGATGAAGATGATATAGATCAATGATAATTCCACATATCTTTGGCATTAACTTAAGGACTTTTAATCTTGTCTTTGTGATTGCTGCTTGACTTTGAAATGTTTAAGCATTTGAACCTCAATATTTATGCTCCTCAAACAAATTACTCCAGACATGCTTTGTTTATAAAGACAGCCATAATGAAAATGAAAAAACAAAAGTGTCCACCAAGAATCAACTGGCAGCTATCAGAAATGAATCTATGTAATCAATTTCTCTATGTAAGATTTACTTCAGTCATAAGCCTCAAAAATAACCTTTCTATATTCATAATTTCTCCTTTTTATCTAATTTACTAGTATCCTAGACAACAGAACAACCCCAAGTATAAACATGAAAAGAGTCAAAGACTATAGTATGCCCTGCATGATACAAAGCATAAAAGTTTCCACCTTTCAACTTTTTTTCCTATACAAAGTGCTTATAAAACAACAAATGCAGCAAATCGAATAAGAAAAATGTTCAATGGTTTTGTTTTTTATTGCTAGTGTTCTATACTCCTATATAGAAATATTTACATTCAGACACATATGACATGTCAAAAGTGTAAACATGATATTTGATCTTAACAAGCTTATAGGTATAAACAACTGGATTCACAAGTCATAACACAACCTGTGACAAAAAAAAAAAAAAAAAAAAAAAAAAAAAAAAAAAAAAAAAAAGGAAAAGAATGCAATAAAGAAAGTACCTCGTCATCCTTGACATATGGTTCAAACCAACCCCACAAAGTTTTCGGATCTGCAGCATATCTCAAGTACAGAAATCCAACCTGCATACCAAATGCGATATAAATTGTTCAGATAGCTTCAAAGAACATTTTCTAGCATATAAGTGACTGTATTGTTAATTAAAGAACAAACAAAAAAAATCACAACTTACCGCTCTAATGTATGGAGAATCTGGGTGTTTCAACAGGCCATGCATTTGTTTCACTGTAAGCTTCATGGTGAAGAACTTGTACAGAAGGCAAAATGCAGTGGAAGGACCACGACAATTCCCAGTCATCCATGGCTCCACATGATCCACTTGGTTGTATATTTCATCAATCACTTCATGATAAGTTTTAAAACGATAAAGCTCTTTAAAATAATCCGATGAAAGGATATTCATGCAAAGAACCCTCTCCAACAGTTGATCAATCGGCTTAATTGGTATCTCCATAACTTAAACCACACAGATACCCCTTGTAAGGATGTCTGAAATCAGCTGTTTCTTTCCTTTATACTTCACTTAGAACAAGACAGCTTTCATTCCTAACAGTTAAAAGAAAAAGAAAACCAATTAGCAAAATGATAGAAGAAGTAATTATAGCAATCATGGGTTCTTAATATCTTCTATAAATTGTTAAAAAAATATAGCAAGGTTAGTATAGGATTTACTTCAACACCACAATTTTAATTAATTTAAGGTTCTCTTTCACTTCAACATTAGAAGCATCTTCGCGAAACATGTTATCCGTATAAAAAGTTCCATGATTGCAACTCGCAATAATCTATACGCTCAACACGCGATTATATTGGGAAGTTTACTCTAACTGATGACAGATTGCACATCATTTTAAAGAATAAGAGAAGTAGCTTTCGTAGAAATAAAGACGCAGAACTAATTAAGACGATTAAAAAAAACGATTGGGAACCCTAGGGAACCCAAATAAAGAGCAATTATACCTTTTCGTTGAGATGGTAATAGTGATTTGGTGATTACAATACGAGCTGCTTTCTGAGAAACAGAATCGCAGAACCAGCGATTTGATTTTCAGAGTTCTTTTAGAGTTTTTGTGTTCGCGAATCGGGACCTAACCCTAGACCCAAATCTTATGACGAGTATATAATTTTGCTGCACAAGTTAATTGACGTGACAGATACGGCGCTTCATTGGTTTTTTCTTATAATACGGGTAAGACCCGGATCGACCCGAAAAGATTGAAATATTGCAGTTAAACCCCTGGATTATGGTGTTTCTTTCCTTAGGCCCGGCTATAATCTAAAATAGTATTATGTGATGGGTAAGTTATATATTCGTTAGCTTTGAGATATAGTGCTGTGTTGATTTTGGTCCATAAGTTTTCATTTCAAAAAAACGAAAACTTAAATTTCAATGACCCTAATCAAGTTGTATGACTTTAATCCTAAAGAGTACCATGTGATGAGTAAGTTTAATGTTATGTTTGGTTCGAAGTAACTCAGTCTCAATAATCACATGTTATTGTTGTATTAAAAAATTTGTGTGTGTTTTCTTCTACCGAATAACTTCTTTATGATATAAAAACTAATCTTGTTATAAACCAATGTTTTAAAACTCGGGTTTTTAGTTGATCCGGTGTGACGACCGGTTCACGGGTCAACCGGTTCAACCGGTTAAACCGCGCGGGTCAACCCGGTTTATGGTCTTTTTCTATTTTTATATATTTTTACTTTTCTACATAATGCATAAACATATAAAACCAATAATTTGATGTACACAAAGTTTAAATATTGAAAAACATTAAAGAAACCACAAATTACTCGTTGTTTTGGTGTTCGCTACTTGTATCTAACCATCAAAACCCTATTAAAACGGGTCAACCCAGTTTTAACTGGTTCAACATAAGCGGTCGAACCGCGGTGCAAGGGAAACCCGACCGGTTCAATCCGGTCCGTATTTTTACAAAAAATCGTTCTCAATTGACCCGCTTTTTACCCCGTCACGGTCCAACCGGTTGAACCAGTCGGGTCAACCCGGGTTTTAAAACATTGTTATAAACAAAGATACGACTACAAAAATAAGTTAAAATAAAAAATTAAACAAGTACAAAAGATGACTACAAAAATAAATTATAATAAAAAGACAAGTAGAAAAAGATGAAAGCTTTTCATCAAACATAAACTCTCAAAGGCTATGATTGTGCCCTCTTTTCTATGCTAATATATCTTAACTTAGATTCTATTATTTCAAATAGGTGTAATTAGTACACAAAAGTCGAATAAAAGTGCTAGGAGCCATCACTTTCATCATAATTTACTTTTCCATGATCAAGAAGCAGTAAATGTGATAGAAATGACATATTTTTGTGCTTAAAATGTTTGGGATGGAATTAAAACATTAGTGACAAGATTCTGGATGGTGATCGGTGAACATCTTTTTGATTCTTGGTGTTGGTGGTTGAGGAAAATCAAAGCCATGCACTCTCTTAAATGATGATGGAATGGTTAGTTGTGGGATCTTGATTGAATTGAGTTTTGGTGGTGGGTTTCGCCACTGTGGAAGATAGCCTACAAGAAGAAGGTTTTGAAGTAAAGGGCCTGATTTCATCATGGCGTGCAAGAACTTGCCTTTCTCTGGTAACCTTTTTGTTAGTACCACATTATCAATGACATCTGTTAATGATTGTGATGGTGGCAGTGGGAGTGACAGTAACGGAATTTGATCGGTTAATTGGGTTTTAGTAGCATTTTCATTAGAGACCAAAGAAGAAACAACTCGTACAATAGGGTCATCTTCAATGTAACTAGTGCGAGCAACTCTTACAAAAGAAGAAAGATTGGCTTCGAGTTTTTGAATTTCTTGTTGAAGAATGAGATTTTTTGAAACTAGTATTTGGCATTTGAATCGGAATTTATCTCTTTCCTTAATGGTTTTTGTCAGTAAGCTTTTGAAATACAATGCTTCGTCTATTTTTCTAGCAATCTCTTCGTTCGCACAAGCAATTATTGTTTCCATCTCTAGTTTTGAGTAGAACAAAGAAAGCTTCAACCCTGTGGTATCGTGTGCCTGATAACGATAAAAAATTCACAATAAAGAAAGGTTATACGTAAAGAAAATAAACAAAAAAATACGAGAACTAATCAAAATATCATCCTTTTGTCTAACATATATTATCTAAGGGTAAAATCAATAGCAACATCAACAACAACAAAATTTCATAAATCTCTTTAAATTTGGGTAAGGAATGTAGATGTTGAGAGTCATATCTCAATTGCATCACATATAAGACCTACTACATGTGTAAATAAAAATATAATATAAGGGTAAAATGAAAACTCAAAACCAAGATGCGACGATTTTGAAATGAGACTGTGATAAGAAAATGTTAAGTGCCTCTTCTTGGTAGTAGCACTCTGAATTCAAAGCAATATATGCATCCTCCATGTTACCACACCAAAGTGAGATAAGGTAAGTTTATATGAAATCGTGTTTTTCCTATTCTGGTGAGGGGTTTGATTATAAACCAAATGCTTTCTTTTATAGCATTTAAAACCTTTTTTTGGGTATTGTCAATAAGGGAAAGAGGTTGGGATACCCAAAACTAAACTAAAAGCCAAAAGCAAGTTGAATATAAACTTAAGATCATAGTATTTGTGATGATAATAGATGTGACTTTTGAAATCTTTCTTATAGCTACTATAGTCTTATAGGTAGAATATCATATCTTTTTTTTATAAAGATGTTATTTTAAGGTGCTACTATACGTACACATAAATTGTCAAATCATGAGGCTACACATATTATTACACTCACAAAAGGTACACCAAGCAATTTGGGGGTACGTATAGAATCATTTTTATTTTATCAATAAGGTCTCAAGAGATTTGTTTATGGTACAAGATCGTCCCAACGATAATATAATATCTAATCTTCAACAAGGGGCTATTAAATTTGCTTCATGATCAACTAAAGAACAACTAAATCCATACATTTATTACTAGATGATAATCAAAATGATGAAAACAATAAAAAGAAAAGAAATTTTTTGAATGAGTTGATGCTCCAAATTATTCCCTTTCAATTGTTTCTTTTTTGCAAAATATCCGCAAATTAATATGCTACAAAAAGCAATGGTGTGATAAAAAGTAATGTTACCAAAATACCAATAATCATTTGGTGCAAAAATACAATGATGTTTTATGCTAATAGTGTATAAACATTATTAACTTAGTATTTCTATGAAATTACATTATCATATAGTGAATAATAATAAATAAAGAGAAAATGACAAAAATAGTCATTTACACTAATGACATTACAAAAATAGCCAAAAAATATCCAAATTACAAAAATAGCCAACGATTTCGTAGATGGAAATGCCCCATCTGCGAAATCACCTTTCCATCTGTGAAAGTACAAGCAGCTAAAGCACAGTTGTGCTTTAGCTGCTTGTACTTTCGCAGATGGCTTAGGCCATCTGCGAAATTGAGAAGCCATCTGCGAAATACTCTTATTTTCGGTATATAAACGTTTTTTTTTTCTCCATTTTCCCCCTTCTCTACACAAAAACTCTCTCTAACTCTCTCTATCTTTGGAGTATTTTCGCGATTTTGGCTACTTTTTGAAGAAAATGGAGGATTATATCAACAATCCGGCGAATATGGTTAGATTTTAACTCTTTAAATGTTGAAGTTTTTTTTTGTTATCATTTATTGTATTATTTAGTGTTAAAAAAGGGTAATTTGGTGTATTTTGATAATTTTAATATTTCTTTAGTATACTTGAAGCTTAAATGGTATTTTGTTAGTGTTTGTTTGAATGTACAAGTAGAGACTGCGTAGATAATGTTTAGAATTTGTTATTTTTGTTGTTTGTTTAGTTGTTGTATAACCTGAAAACTTGTATATTGTTATCATATAATTGTTTATATAAAGTGAAAAATAGTTAAATTATAGTATGTGTAAAATACTCGTTTGTATATATATTTGTTTTATAAGTATAGCGTTTGTATAAGTTGAAAATTTATCGTATATATATTGTTAGAAATTGGTTTTGTTTGTCGTATAAGTTGAACAATTGTTGTCGTATAACTTGCAAAATTGTTAATTTGGTTGTCGTTTTATTTGAAAAATTGTTTTTTATATGAATTATAAAATGTTAGTTTATATAATTAGAAAGATAAAAAATGTTTATGTATTTGTCGTTTAAGTTGAAAATTTGTTTAAGTTGAAAAATTGTCATTTATATATTTGTCGTTTAAGTTGAAAATATGTTTAATAAAATGTTTATATTATGTATGATATTGTTTTTTATCGTAAATATATTTGTTGTATAACTTGAAAAATTGTTTATATATGTGTATGTTATTGTTTTTATCGGAAATATAAAAATAATTATTAATTAAGAAATAGTATTTGCATTACCAATTGTTTATGTATTGCAGTTCGTAATCATATATTTTAAAAACAAAATATTTTTTTAGTTATCTAATTTATTTTTGTGTTTTTTTTGCAGCATGATTTTAGTTTTAATCAATGTGAAAGCGTTTGCGAACTTAAAAGGTTCTGGCGGTAACATATGGGAAGTATTTGAAGTTTTAGATGATGCAGACGTGCCATTTTCAGAAATACCGTATTTGGTTACTTTATTGATGTCCCTCGTTTACAAGGGGATGCATTGTTTTCCATAAAATGTTC